TGGGAAATATGGAATATACTTTAATGATACAATAAATAGAATTGTTGGTTGATGTGCACTTATATTATAGATGTGCAAATAATATTCAGAAATGACTGGGTACAAACATCGTGCGATGTAAACAGTGCATGTAAGAAGTACAAAGCAAATAGGCTACAATAACCATGGCAGTTGAGAAATGAAACAAACAAACGAATGAAGCTAAGGCAAATGAATAATTAAGAATTTTGAACTATTGGTATTTATCATAGTGATCATTTTCAGTGTGATATCGGATTTGGGACAGTCCACGTAATGACTAACCCAAGTAGAATTGTGCCAAGATCCTTTTATACATGCTCCTTACAGAAGGAAATAGATGTACCAAAAAACGAAAATCTTACCAGTTTCAATGGTCTCTGTGACAGGCTCACTTCTCATTTCTTCAGCGTCATCAGTATCACTAATGACAACAACTGTGATGTCATAAGCAGTTTTGGGAACCAACTCGTCCAACATGACCTGCGTGTCCGAAACACGGAGCACAGACAACGCAGCACTGCCATCAGTGGGTACATACGAGACTTCAAATTCTGTATAATCATCGTCGACTGACCAGGACAATTCCAAGAAATAAGCATCAATGGTGTCAATATTTATCATATTAACAGCATTAGGCTCTGAAAATAATAAACATTAAACTTGCATGAAATATAAGATAAATCCTTAAGTTCCCATTAAATTAATAAGCAGTAAATGCATGAACAGAAAATTTATTATGACGACCATTTCTAGCCAGCTGATTGAATAGCTAAGAGAAAATATAAAAAAAAATCAGTTTCTATTAATAGAGGGGTCAAACTTTTAGAAAGATTACCCTAGATGATGAGAAATGAAACTAGTTATAAAAATAAAGTTATAAAAATAAAATTATATATTAATAAAATTATAAAAATATGTTTAGTCCATTTTATTTGCTATCGATCCAAATATACAATTATAGTAGTTTCTTTAAATATACATTAGTTGAGAAACACACTATATACAGAACAAAATAATTAATATACACCGAGAAGTGTGTCTTCTTTTTTAAACACGAAGTATAGAAGCTGAATGCATTTATTTTTGAACAATTTTGATTCAAATATTCACCATATCTCATGCGTAGATACTCTAAAAGAAGCCACATCCCCTTGGTTTGCATAATGCCATTTTAATAGAAGTTGCAGCTGCTAATACAGTTGTAGTATTTCCATATAAAGTTAGTTGTTCATATTAGACATGAATGCAGTAGTTGGGATTTGACAGTTTGGAAATTTAGGCTGATGAATTAGGAGCATATACAGCAAGTCTAACAAGTATTGGGGTAGCCAATTTGCAAACTCGCTAGCGAATTGGCTAACTTCTTGGATTTTAACTAAACGGTTGGTTTTTGAATCTCAGAAACTGTTACAATTATTATTATTTATTGGCGAGACATTCAAAATGGCAGCGTACATCTGAGTCCAACTATGCACCCTCCATTATACAACAACCACATGATTATGATTATGATTTATCATTAGCAACTTAATGACCATCAAGAAGACAGAATATAGTGGATGAACACCATCAGATATGAAACGGCAAAAGATATAACAAAAAAATCTACTACTCACTCGTAATCTGGTAAGCTACTTTGGGTGTCGGCATTGTTCCTGTAGCGACGTTAACTCGCAACTCTAATTTATATTCTCGTCCAGGTGTCAAACCTTTAAATTCTGCATTTCTTCCAGCAGCCTTGGAAAATGTTCTCAATCCTTCTGTTGTGCCATCGCTAGGGGTGTACACTACTTGATAACCGGAGAAAGAGACGGTAGGCTCATTCCACGTGATATGAATCATATCAGAGGTCACCAGTTTGATATTGATGTCACCAGGAATACCCTCGGCTGAAAGTGAGAATTCAAGATGTATACACAATCAAGATTCAATAGACAAAATAATTTGCTTACTGTGATTAACAAAAATGAAGCATTTTCAAGAATTAAAGTCATCCATACATTAATATAGAGGTGTCACATCAGATGAGACGTGTTCGGTGCCACAGAAAGCTAAAGTATATTTACCTGTGGACTGCGAAGCTACTTCAGGATCACTTTTTGTATTTCCAGTCACTGTGACAACACTAACATCATACAATGTGTTTGGTTCAATCCAGTCAAAGTCACAGCCAAATTTTCATCTCTACCGACAAATAATGGTGATTCAATCATACCATCAGCAACACCATTTGGACCTCCATACATCAATTCAAAACCATCATAATTACCACTGATTGGTCGTTCCCATGTAACGTCAATACCGTTTGGTCCAAGTTGGGTCAGCACTAGATTTTCTGGAGAGTTGGGCTCTATTTGAAAAATATTCATAATAATTTTAATGTTTTATTCCATCATAGACAGACTTGAAGACCTTAATTCAACAATAATATACATTGTAAATGTTGTTATACATTGTAAATTATTGAGTGGTCAATATTTTTTTATTATTAATAAGCCATTCATGCCACAGTTCTCGTTAGTTATCAAATTTAAGATATATTATAGTTTTGTTTACAGTAATATAGTTGGAACATAAACATGTCAGAAGTATGCATCCAGAAGATGATGCTTGATTATGATTATTTTTTAAACATTAAAATGATTGACATCTTGTATCTTATCGTCAAATGAGTACTTGTCCATATTGAGAGATATTGCTCAAGAAATACATTAATTAAAACAAAATGGCCACCAGTTGGTCATTTTGAATTGGATCATCAAAACATTTAAATGTATATAATATAATATAATTTTAATATTATCGGTCTAAAGCATGTCAGAGATATGGCACTAGAACAGCATTCATTAAAACAAAATGAGCGACATTTTCACACTTGTGCAGTTGATGACCTCTTGGTTTTAAGTTGGACACTGTTTCAAATGACTATAAAACGATAGGTGATGATGGCAACAAAGTGAAACTTTAAACAATAAATAATTATGGTCTTGTTATCTCACCTGTCTGAACCTTTAAAATGTCAATCTGTGTTTTTGATGAGCCTTGTATTAAAAATAAAGTAAACGTGTACTCTTGTCCAGCAGTCAGACTACTGAACACACCCTGGATTAAAGTACCCGGATTGGGATCCCTTGTAAATCGTTCACCAGATCCCGGTTCCCCATCATCTGGTGCATACTCTATCTCATAATCGGTGAAATCTCCAACATTTTGAGGTTCTCTCCATCCCAAGATGACCAGTGAAGTGCTGCTAACAAGTACATCTAAAACAATCTCCTCTGCGAAACAAAATACAAGATATTATATAAGAAGATAAATATACAAAACAAAACACGTGGCTATGGTAGCAATGTTTATTAGTATTTTATCCAAACATTTGAAATTTTTTAAAGATTTTACAAGGAAAGGAGCAGACTATAAATGGAACTATTCTGTGTGGATGGTGCCTGAACTTTGGTGCTCAAAGGGTTTATATACCACTTATTTTAACAATAGATAATAACATAACCATGATGACCAATCATAGCTTACATCATTGGCACGCAACACAGCTTGCATACATTATTGTTATTGTCTTCAAACTGATGATTTAAACGATGTAAAATATGTTGTTTTTCTAAAACAATGACATGGAAATTTGCTTTTATAACATTGATATCCTAGTTTCTTTGACAAACTATAATTAATCAGCTCAAAAAATTATGTTTTTTGGAGATTTTTGAGTTACTTTGGAAGAAAATAAAATTGCGAAATGAGTTTCATCATCGTTGATTTTCACAACACTTTTACAATGTCAGAACAGAAAAGATCACAAAAATTCTTGCATTTTATTATTACCCTGGTACTATATCAGAATTGATGGTGTAAAAATTACTAAGGTCTGTGGGGAAAACAGTCAAAAGCTGCATCATTATCACTGGTATTGAATGTTTTAGATTGTACAAAAACTCTTGATGCAAAGCAATATCCATCATGATGTTTTTCTGCATGATTTGATCTACAACAAAGCCCTGTGATGCAGCAGTAACATCAATATCCTGGAATCCTTGATAAACCTAAATTGTTGGTAATTTACTAGAATATTTTCAACAAGATTATCTAAATTCAACTTACTTGTAATAGTAGTAGTCGTTGCAGCTTCACTTAATGTCTGAAGTGAGCCAGTACCACTGACGGAATAAACCACGATAGTGTATTCCGTAATAGACAATAAACCATTGATGGTGAACTGTTGTGTATCTGAATCAACACTGCCAGCAACCATCTCATCGCCCTCAGGGTTGATGTAGGAAA